CGGAAGGGAGGACATATATCTTCTGAAATGTCAGAGCCCGGAGGCAACCACAATGATTGCATTGCTGTTGTCTACCTAGAATTAGTAATATTTTGGAGTGAAAGATTAGGTAACACAAATAAGTATTATAAAGTTATGGTAACTATTAGGATTAATTGCATTGCTGTGTTTCATGAGCATGCAGACAAGCTTTTGGCCTTTTTTTTCATTGTTATTGATCTTAACAAGGAAGGGCGCAAAACCAGACTGGAAGCATATTTTAGGCTATTACATTATACTAATGTCTTGTTGACTTGTTGTACAACCAAATGCATATGTCAGAGTTTACTGCCCGTTTAAGCAATAAGCAGTTCTCTGCTTGAGTGCCATGGCTCAGCAATCAACGTCCCTAGGCTAAGACTGCAAATTCATCAGTTTTTTCTTTGCTTCTAAAATTCACTCTCTTTTTCTGGTATTTGTGGCTGCCACATATCACATCTCTGTTGGCCATAAAATTCACTCTATAGTTTGATCAGTTGCAAAACGTTCCCAATAGAGGCCTTTCTTTCCTGATCCTGCAACTTGTTAGTTATCAATCTTGGTAACGACCATAGCCGAAGCAATTCCCAACTCTAGGGAACTCAGGGGACTGGAAAGCTGTGCCCCTGGATCATATGGCTAAGCTTCATTTTCCAGATTTTTTTACTTGTTCACAGTTGTTGATTATAAAAATTTTCACATATTTTAAGGCCTTTTCCAGGCCATGGATTAGAAAAATTGAAGTTATGAAATACAAGTTGCCTACCGACAGGATCTTTGATGTCAGAAATTTGCAAATGAATTTTTTAACAAAAAAAAAAAAACTTTGATTGGACACATGCAAGGGGCTAAAGCACTCAGCAGCCTCTCAACCCCCGTAATGGTGGTCGTCATTTCAGTCTATGACTAAATAAAATTGTATAAGTAAATTTGCATAAGAAATGGCAATTATTTTAAGTTTCCCTGTTTTATCTGGCATGATCCATTTGCCATTAGAGTCGTTATCAAAGGACATATGCTTGCCATTATATACAGAAAATTCAATTATTAATTGATTTTTATATTATATAATAAGTAACACAGTTTATGAATGACTTTAGCAGGGGAGGCCGTGAACCAGTAAAAAGATTGTGAATTGTGATCTTAAATACTGCTATTATTTGTCAAAAAAAAAAGGAGAAAAGAAAGCAAAAAAGAGAATCATGATTCTTGGAAACTAGATGTAGTTGCCGTCTCCAATTTGTGGAACAGGCCAGGTTATAAGATAAGCTGAAAGGGTAGTGGAGAATACGTGTAAAGCATATAAAATACTTTATTTTTTCATCTTAAAATTTTCTAGCTTGGACATGGAATTTGATACAAAAATATATAGTTGAAAATGAAATAAATTATACATTAATTTATGATTTCTGCTAATCTGCCTTTAAACTACAACTTTTCATGTATGGAGGAGAACTTAACCAGAAGCTTTTACCAGGTGGATAGTTGATCCATTTGCCTCCCAAATATCCTTGGTTTGTCCCTTACCCTTTCCTTTATCATTTCAGTTTTCAAAACTCATCTAAAAAATTCTTCCTTTTATCAGATATTTACCCATTCTTTTTGACTTTGTTCTCCAATTTGTCCATTTTTTGAATGATTTGAATTCAATATTTCGATACTCCAAAGAGATTTTGACATAGACATAACTCAACCAGTGCAGCAAGCTAAAAAAGTCATACCATATTCCCAACTACAAGTACAACAGTGTTCCTATGGCCTAGGTACTTTCAATTTTAGTACTGTTTTTTGTCAACTTTATTGCTAAGATCAACCAAAAATTCAGACTATTAATCTGCTACGTGCTTGTGCATGGGAACACAATCTGAAACCGACCAAAGTGTGGGTATTTTTGTCATCAAATTACCGACTTTCCATATGATGTAAGGAGCCTTCTAAATACAATTTGAATGCTGCTAAATGCACTTTCGTTTTTTTTACACTCCAATTTTTTTAAAATTTATTTTGTAAATAAAATTATTTAATTACTATTCTCACGACCTTTTAAAATTTTATAAATTTTCAAAAAAATGATAAATCTTTCCGAAAATTTAAAGGGGCTAGGGAAAGCCGACTAATACATGAGGGGAAGCTGTTGTAGAAGCTGATATTTCTATCAGTTAATGAAAGAGCTTAATGCAAAAAATTACATGTTGGGTCTTTGAAATAGGTCAAATCATTTTGATAATAATCAGTTTGATCTATTTTATCAAGAAAGTTTATTATTTGAGTCTGTATAGCTTTATATTTTATTTATTAATTTAAAATATTTATTAAATTAATAAAAATGAAATAAAAATAATATTCTTAAAACTATATAGTTATTTTACTAGAATAACTAGAATAAAAAAAACTATGAATTTTTGTACAATCTATTTTTATGTTATGATTAAGTTTTTTTGTCGAATCCTATCCATCGCTACTCTTATAACAAAGGAAAAAAGTTTTTATTTCGTTATTTAAATGAAATAACTACTCTATTTTAATTTTATTAAGTCTTCTGACAAAAACGACAAGGTTTTAAGTTTTAAGATTTTTTATTTTTTTATCTTATGATCCTATCTTGATTACATCTAAATCTCTTGTTCGACAAAAGGTCTTTTATATAGAATAATAATATTATAACGATTATAGTTTAGTGATAAAAATGTGATTTGTTTTATTAATTTTTTTAATGATTAAAAGATTTTTTGATTTGATTCATATTTCGAGCAAAAAAATTTATTTCTTAAAAAGATTTAATTCTTTACCTCTCAACAAAATATTTTGGGAAGAATATATATTCTTACAATTTATATCCAAGAAACAATTAAATTATATAATTATATTCTAAATTAAAAAATTAAATTATGAAGTTATCAAACATAATTTTATTGAACTACAATCTCAAAAAAATTAAAAAAAAATGTACTGCATAGAAATTTTTATGATTTCATTCTAATCATTTTTTATTTAAATGTTAGATTTGAATTCTCATGTTTTAACAAATAAAGGAACGAATGATATATTAATATCCATACGGGTATACGCGTTAGTGAGAGCAACGCATATTACTAGTTACTACTAATCCTTTCAATATTGCTAAATTGATCTACAATCAATTTTAAAATGAAAAAAAAAAAAAAAGAATGTTGTCTGTGGATTTATAACAAAGGAAAGCCCCCTTATGCCATTTGAAACATTCAAATTCCGTGCTGCTCGCCACTCCCCGAGGCCAAGGACGGGGTCGAACCGTCATTCCAGGATTTGCAGTCCGATACATTTCCATTATGTTACCTAGCCAAACCCGCCACCTCATGTGCCAAAGTCAAACGGTTGTCAAACTTCTACAACAAATACATTTTTTCTCTGCATTTCAATCAAGTAAAGAGCAAGAAAGGTAATAGTATCATCCATAGCGAGTGCTCTCGTATATAAGAGAAGGCCTGTAGGAGTGATCCTTCCCTCTAATCATAAGAAAAGAAAGCGTCGCAGGTCTTAGAAGCAAGGCTATGGGATAACTCTCGAAGTATAAGCAGAAATTCCCAGCTTTCTTAACCTTTAGAGGGGTTTCGTCACTTACTTTTATAATCTTTTCAAAAATTCATTTTTGAAAGATTCTATGATTTTTTGAAAATTTATTATCAGAAAATTTTATAATTTTTCAAAAATTTACTTTTAGAAACTTGTGTAAAAAAAATAATTAAATAATTTTATTTATAAAAAAATTTTAAAAAAAGTTGGGATGTGAAGAAAAAAGTCTTGGGTGCATTTAGCAAAACTCCAAAATTTTTCTATACACCATAAAATTTTCTTTTAAAAATACCCACTTTAAAAATATTAATTTTAACCTTTAATAAATGATAAAAATATTTTAAATAATTTATGTACTTTAAAATTACTTTTGTAAATTTTAAAAATAAATTTTTGAGAGTTATATTGTATTTTTGATAATTTATTTTTGAAAAAGTAATATAATTCTTGAAAATGAATTTTCTAAGAGTCATCTTATATTATCAAAAATTTATTTTTGAAAATATATAAATTTTATTTAAATATATCTTTAATTATAAACTACTAATAACATTTAAGTTTAATTTAAATAAAATGAATACATCTAATCTCAAAATAAATAATACTAAAATAAATAAATATGATGTGCTAGGATCTCCAAACATCTCTAATGAGTTTTTCGAAGTATAACTTAATTTTGACAACAAAGATCTTTAATCTTTAAGCTATTACTAGTGACCTAAAAATTAGAGATCTATATTATCGAATTTATTAGTCTGTTGATGATATTATCAAGGTCAATATTTTATAAGATATTCAAGCTTGAACTAGCATACATGCATACATATAAGTCATCAATGTAGTCATTTTTACTTGATTATATATACAAATGAAATAGACATATTAGTTTTTAAGCATATATAGACTTAAGTGTTTTTGTTTTAAGAGCAATATCCGTTTACCTATGCAAAACCAAAAAATTAGAATACGATATTCTTAGTTTTCTAAATGCTTAAAAGAATGAATAAGTTTATGTCATACATGATAAGAATGTAGTTCAATTTATACAAATGATTAAGTAAATGGATTTATATATGCATGATTAAGATTTTTACTAATTAAAAATAAAATCAAAATTTTCAAAAATAGATATTTAAAATATTTAAAATTGTTTGGATAGATAAATCTTTTAGGAAGGATATCTGAAAAGATTCAAAATTTTTTAACAATAAATATTCAAAAAGTTTTTAAGTTTCTCAAAACTATATATTTATTTATGAGAAACTTAATTTCAAAAATGAAGAGAGAAAAAAAGAGAAATTATAAGAATGAAAAATAAAAAAATAAGGAATAAGAGTGTATTTAATAAAAATAAAAAATTTAAATTTAAAATTTATTTAAAAATTAAATATATAAAATAAAAAGTGAGCTATAAATGGAATTGCTTCGTGATACAATACTTTAGCACAGTCTATCCGTCTCCATCAATGGTGGTTTTAGTGGAGCTTCACGTAAACCCACCACACCCATTCTCTCTCTCTTTCTCTTTCTCTTCTATCACCTTTACCTTCTCTGTCTTAGAGAAACGAAAGGAAAAACAAGTAACAAACTTTTTTTTTACGCAAACCCACTATACCCAAATATCCCTTTTTTTTTTATTTGCTTTTGAGGCAAAGAAAGGAAAACCCAAAAATTTTTACATGAAATTGGATCCAACTTTATTATAAAATCCTTCCTTAATAAATATTTACAAAAACTTCCAATTTATTTCTCTTTATATTCCAACAACGGCAAAAAATTCATGGGAAACATCGGAAGTAGCGGAGTGCATGGCCGGCGAAGGCACGGAAGCCGGCGAAACCACCCTCCGCCACCACAGCTAGCACCTCCAGCACAGCCGCAACCTGAGATCTCCGCCAACCGTTACGTCTTTGCCGCCGCCACTCCTTACCCGCCCCAATACTACCAGTATCCAGGCTACTACCCGACTCAGCCGCCGGTACCGTTGCCTCTTCCGGCGCCGTATGATCATCATCATCGAGGTGGGCCCCACATAGAGCCCGCAAATTGGAGTATGTTTGTGTATGGGCCAATGATGCCACCGCCTCCGGTGCCTTATATAGAGTATCAGAAGGCGGTTACGATAAGGAATGATGTTAACTTGAAGAAGGAAACTTTGAAATTGGAAGCTGATGAGGAGAATCCTGGGAAGTTCCTGGTATCTTTCACGTTTGATGCTACTGCTGCTGGAAGGTATAAAATTTCTATCTTTTTGTTTAAATTTTCAATTTTTGTTTCGATGAGAATGCTACGGTCGTAGCTATTAGTATAGGTTGCTTTTGATTAAAATTTTGCTCCTTGGATATAATTGAAATGATTATTGTTAAATGCTTTTTTTTTCAGAGCTTGAGAGATGTGCATTTTTAGAGGGATAAAGGTTTGGCAAGTGACTTTAAGGATAGAGATTATTTGGAGTTCAATGAAAGATTATTGGGATATTTTTGTTAACTTTAAGTATCAAATTTGTAGTTTCTCAGCTATGCTTACAGGTTTTAAGGTTACCTTGTTTTATATGGGAACTGAATGTGATTAAAGAACTGGGTTGCTTGTATGTTATTTGAAAATTTGAATATACTTCAAACTAGATGCCAAGATGACAGGAACAAGAAGAAAAATTGCGAGATGGTATTTCACCTCATTAGAAGTGTTTTGAGGTCTCTTTCCTTCTATATGTTAGAGTTCAAGCTCTGTGATTTTCCTTATTTACTTGATAGAGAATATGTCAATAGGTTTATTGTGATGAAGACTAGAATGATGATGATTTTTTGTTAAATTTATGCATCCTAGGTTCCTAGTAATCAGATATAGAAACTTCTCAACTAGAGTAAAACTATGCAAAGACAAGCTCTATGCTTTTGTTTTATGAGTTTTGAAATAGATTGCACAAAAGAAACATGAATGATTTGTTGACGTTCTACACAACATATGTAGCAAGTATGCTGGCTGAATTTCTTGTAAATATGTACTAGTAGTACATTTGATATCATCCTTTTCTTTTGCACTTTTTTTCTTATCAGTGTGGATGGTAGTATTTTACTTTGATTCATTGGCCTAACAATATGTTATTTATGGTACTTTAATTTCTCTAGCATCATAAGAAAGCAATAAGAAGCTTTTTCTTTTCTTCTTAGAGGCAATTTTATGCATTGAGGTTATGTGGCATCTTATCTGAAGTTAAATGTTGTTTTTCTCCATTGTAGAGTTGCCCGTTTTTATGCGAATCCTGTTGTGTGTCTGGTATAGTTGTTAACAAGATAGTAGTGTTTACTTTGCTCTGCAAACAGGATGACTGTTATTTTGTTTGCAAAAGAAGGTCACGACTGCACTCTGACTCCGATGAAGGAAAGTATTCTACCACCAGTAACTGTGCCTTTTGAACAAGGTCTAGGACAGAAGTTCAGACAGCCCTCTGGAACGGGGATTGATTTCTCTATGTTTGAGGAGTCAGAATTACTGAAAGTAGATCAGATTGATATTTATCATCTGGCAGTGAAAGCAGAGGCATTGCCCGTCAACCAGAATGGGTCAGATGGAAACCAAGTATCAGGAGCCATGAATTCTCAGATAACTCAAGCGGTGTTTGAAAAGGAGAAGGGTGAATACCAGACGAGAGTATTGAAACAGATTCTGTGGGTGAATGGGATGAGGTATGAGCTGCAAGAAATATATGGGATTGGAAATTCAGTTGATAATGATGTTGATGCAAATGATCCTGGAAAAGAATGTGTTATTTGCCTTTCAGAGCCTCGGGACACAACTGTTCTTCCCTGCAGGCACATGGTAAACACGGCCACTTGTTCTTTGCTCTTCATTATTTTTTTTTCCCTCTCTTTGGTCTTTTGTAATATTGACTGAATGGACAAGAAAGCAAGGGCATGACTCAAACTGTGGACCTAAACCAATGAATAAATCTTGCGGCAATTAGTAATAACTTGTTTTTTTGCTCAACAGTCAGAATTACTTGTCTATTAAGGAAATGGTTGTTGTGGTGGTGTTGCATAAATGGGCGATTTGACTACTTCTCAGTTCCGAAACCATTTGTCTCTACGTCTTCCTCTATAAAGAAGATGTAGAAATGCTATATGCTTACAGCTGGAGTGAAGAAAATACTATATGCTTATTTCTGATGACTGATTCAATTTTTTGTTTGTTCATTATGCAGTGCATGTGCAGCTCCTGCGCAAAGGTTTTGAGTTGCCAAACTAACCGGTGCCCAATTTGTAGGCAACCAGTTGAGAGGCTTTTGGAGATAAAGGTCAACAATGGCCCTGATGAATGAGATGAGAACATGTTTCTTGAGCTATCTTCCTGTATAGTAGCTTGTTGATGTCTTTCTTTTTCCTTTTTTATCCTTTTCTCTTATCACTTTTCATTTTGCCCTTTTGTCCTCCTCTCTTTTGTTTTGCGTGTCAGGCCTTTCCAATATTCAAACGGAAAGTTATAATTAAGTATGCTACATGGTATGAATGCATTGCTCGAATTTCAAACATAATGTAGTCCAAATAGACGCCATCTCGTTGGAGCAAATTTTCTTCATGTTCTACTTTATTAACTTGGTTCATTGTAGGAAACATGTTTGTATAACTGGCTGTCTCATTTTTTTGAAGCCTGCTAAAATCCTGATAATAGTCATCGAGTGCCTTGAATTTCATGGCTTTGGGCTGGACGTACTTGGAAGGTTAGTTTTATCATTATGCAGGAGCTGCTAATTTTGTGTGACAGCGGTTGTTCTTCTACCTTGTGTTATCATGTTTCTGTGACAGCAGTGGTCATTCTTGTGATGCACCAGACGAGTCAACAAGCAACAACCAATCCGGGATGTAACTTGTAGGTTTTTGCTTTGCCTAACTTCTTTGGGACGATCAGTTGAAAACTGACAGGAAACAAGGACTTTCACTTCATCCATTGTCATTGTGCATCGCGCGTTAAAATATATTGATGTGCTTATCCTGTTTGTTTTATTGGGCCACACGTGATTGATTTGTTCATCATCTCAAAAACTGTTTCAAATTTTTTGAGCCCGTCAATGTACTTGGTTATCTTTTGAAGCGTAAGGCGCAACATCAAATGGCTTTTCTTCATTTAACAGCCGATAACATACGAAGTTACTCTTCTGGTCCCGGAGTTAACCTTCAAAACTCAGATTATTGATGGTATATTGGTATTGGTATTACTTCAATAGTGCAATTCCTGTACTATCTTGAGGTTTAGCCTTCAAATTATTGATTGTCGCATCACAACTCGTCTTTGCAATAAATAGAATTTGGCATACTGGCCGTGGAAACTGATTGAAACATAACATGAAAAGTTAACCATATCACTTTAACTGCAATATAATTTATCTGCAATTCCAGCTTTTGAAGCTGATTGAAGTATAATAAGGAAACTCTGCTACACGAAAAACAAGCATAGATCTTACTCATGCAGTCTTGAATAAGTAGTATGTACGAGAGCATCAACAAAAACAGAGTAATTAAGCGATAAGCATGTTATGTGAACTTTATTCAGCAAACTAGAGATAATAGTGGTGGCTTATTTAGCGTAGTGCTTAACCACAAAAGCAACTTAATTTCTTCCAAACATACCAGATGAGGAAGACCGACCACCACATCCATAACAAGTAGACAACAACAATGGCACCCTGCTAGCAGGCATAGTACATAGATGACTCATGACTCAAACAAAACAGTATCTAAAACAAGAGTCTACCAGGTGAAGGGCTGTCTAATCTCCCCACCACTGATGGACATAAACACCAGTTCTTCTAAGGGCCTTGAAGAGGTCCATACAGTCTCCCTTCACCACTCCTCCGCTGTCGATACGGTCTGAGCAGTGAAGAAAAAGCTCATCAATGAAGCATATGATTCCACTTTCAAACAAATCTGAGAGAAGTTTTAACTCCACTGCCCCTGCATTCATCTTCAGAACCACAAAGTCTGCATGTTGCACTGTATTTTTGAACCAGAGAAGAAAGTCAAACCCTCCGTCTTCAACAAATGGATCTGAATCATCGACAATATCAGAATCTATGGAAGCCCTATTTGCTGAACTGGCTGTAGCTTTATTTCTGGCGAGGCCTGGGTGATAAATAAAGTTGATACCAGGCCGTTTGACATAGGATAGCATCACTGAAGTATTATGATCAACGAAATAAACATTGAAGGCTTTGTGATCCACAGGATAAGATGGAAAGAACCAACTTGTAACATTGGAGTTCAAATGCTCACCCGCCCCAATATCAATATAGACCAGATGTTGCTTAGAAGATACATTAACAAACTTGGGAAAATAAGCAATACTTTTCTCAAACCCCATTGGTTTCTCCTCCATAAGAGGCTCAATGTGATTCAATATGGCTTTGTTGTTTGTCATAGATGGGCAATCAGCAGGAAGACTATACTGCTCAAAGTAAGTGGTAGTTTCAAGTTTCTTCACGAATACAACCAATGTAAACTCATTCACGTAATCAACATGCACAACACTGGAAGCTTTCAGTAGAGAAGAAACTGGGGTAGCAGACCTAATCAAGCTAGTAGGGTGACTAATACCAATAAGCATAGCCCCAATTCCACCGGGCCTAATAACACGCTCAACCTCAAACACAAGAAGAGCAGGGACAGAAACCTTATCTAGGTCCCTGGATAACACAAAATCATAAGAATTGTCCTCATAATCAAGTTCATAAACAAACTTCTTATGCTTGAGAGAGAAAAAGGGGTGCCTGTAAACCCCAGTAACATCAGAGAATCCCAAGTCTCTCAATGCCACAACGGCTGACACTGAGCCTTCACCAACAAAGAGAGTTTTTGCACTGTAACTCAATATTTGCTTTCCCATTAACTCTCTAACCACACTGGTTGTCAAGTTCCCATATTCCTCACAATGAACCGATCCAAAACCCCAAACTTTGGAGAAGAAAAACGTGCCTGGAAACATAAATGAACCTGAAGAACCAGGGTCAAGGGCACAGTCTGCTGAGGTAGAAAGGGTATACAACATTTCTGGATCGGCCCCAGATATCATTTGCAGCAAAGGAACAATTGACAAAGCAGCAGCAAGCATGAAAGCGCGTAAAAATACACGCCTCGCTAAAGACCCGTGAAAGATCATCAATTTCAAGGTATAAAAATCCATGGTCTTAACACTTTCAAACTCAATAACTAGCAAGACAGATCCAATCTTTGATAGAAAAAGAGATCGTTGTTTTTATGAACTAAAATGAGAAATCAAGAGAAACTGAACCCAGCACAAAACAAGAAAACAAATTTAGCGAGTGCAAAACCTGGAGGATGTGTGATTCCCACCCACAAGGAGACCCATTGATCTTTGAGCAGTTAACCAGACCTTCATTGGAACCCTTTTACCTGGCTTCATTTCAAACAAATCTGCCTCCATTTCCCCCACTGGAAACATCCCAAAAACTCAACCTTTAACTACTCTATGTTACATCCTTTGATGAATTAGCTTCAATCTCTTTCAACTTTTGATTGAAACAAAGAAAAAAACCCTAAAAAAATGAAAACTTTTTGTGGATTTTTGGGTTTGTTTTTTTCTGTAAGGTGCTTACTCGCATAAATGAAGTGAAGCAGCTAAGGATATATTAGCTGAAGCAATGAACAGTAAAACGTGGTAGATCTGGATTTGCATTAAAACTACACCACAAACAACTAGGCAAGATATGAGAGTGGGGCCAAGAGTAAGATGCTTTGGTGACGTGGCAGAAAAAGGAAGCTTTGATCTGAAAAGATTGCGCACACATATCAAGATTAAAACACTTGCAAACCAATTATATCTGAGAAAGCCTTATTGGCCCCTCCACATGATTTTCTGCCTTTTCGGCTTTTTAAAATTGTTCATTATTGGAGAGGGCCTAGCAACCTACGATTGTTGGGTCCACTTTGTCTGTCCAGTGACAAAAACTCATCTTCACACTAACCTTGATGCTGATGTTCCATCATCCATGATTGGCCCAGTAGCTCAGATGTTTTCATTTGATCCTATTTGGGTTCTTATTGGCTCAAATCTTTTTGTGATTTAGTCCAACATAACCTTCATGCTGAGGCAGGCCCTAAAAGGGACAAGTTGGGATAGATAAGTAGCCCAACCCTACTCTTAGCTGTTTTTAGACCCAACTTGAAAAAGCTACCATTTGGATTAAATGTAATGTTTCAAAATGATAATTTCAATGTGGGTTTTAAAGGAGATTTGATCTTAAAGATTCGATTTATTTATATTTATATAAAATATATTAATTAAATTAATATTAATGGCAACGAGTTGATTTTAGAATTTTGAGATTTTAAATTTAAATTTTATTATACGTGGGTTTAATTCAGTTAAGAATTTTACTTTAAAGTCAAAATAAAATTAAAAGTATTAATGTCTTTTATTTATTTTTATCAAAGCACGTGTTTTTAAAAGAAATTACTTAACTACTAGAAAAACTACTATCTCATTTTTATTTCAGTAATTTTCTTATCTCTTTTAAAATAATTTGTTTTTCAAAACACCCACACAGTGGGTGACCAATTTCTAGTTTATATCATAAATCGAAATGTCATGGTAAAAAATTGGCAAATTGGCTGAAATGGGTGCCTTTCCCTGCTAGCTAGTAGTAAACTAGGTTTCCTTTTCTGAAGTTAGTGTGCCATTTTGATTTAAGCAATCATCAATTGGAGTGTTAGAAAATTTTGAGAAAATAAAAATAATAAAAAGAAGATATATGAATTTGATGTGTGAAAAATATTATTTAAAGTAATTATATTTATTGGATACAAAAAAATGTTAAATTCTTTAAATTAAAATTAATAAAATTGCTCATACAAAAAACTCTTTTTATAATAAACGAACAGTCACAAATTTTTATTTAAAAATTATGATAATTTGTATAATCGTTTTTTATTTAAATAATTATCTATTTTAAATAATTATAAATTTTTTATTGCGGCTCAGTCTAACATTTAGTTTAATTATTTAAACCATACAAATAATCTTTTTTAAATTACATATAAATAATTTTTCCATTTAATGTATAATCTCTCTAACATTTGTTTGTCACTATGGTTAAAAAAAAAAAAAAAGGTATTTCTTTCTCTAATGGTAAATTTAGGAGACAGGTAAATAAATTTAGATGCCAATTGAACTCTTTTAATTTCAGTGGCCATGATGAAAGGTCTTAAAATGCTCCACTTTTTAAGTAGATAATAAGTTATTATTACACCCTCCACCCAAGGAAATTTGGTGGGAAGCAGCTTTGTTCTAATGTTGAAAATTTTGGAAACCTTGGATATCATTTCAAAAACCTCAAATCCGTGTACTAGCTGCCATTGGCTACGCAGAAAGCCATGGTTGAAAGTTTCAAATAATGTTTGAAAAGGTTGGCAATTTCTAAAGCAGATGATTAGGCATATATATATATATATATATATATATGATTTATATTTGATAAATTGTTAGTATACAGATATTATATAATATTAGTAAATCTCATAATATACTTCATGTTTATTTGTTTAATTTTTAAATATATTTTTAAAATTAAATTCATTTTTTTTTTATAAATATTATTACATGATTTTATTAATAATATATAATATTTATATACTTAGAGTGTATCAAATATAAACATATTTTAAAGTTTAACATGAAAAATATCCCTTGCATATGATTATGAAGTTGGCCGCCTTGCTGGCTGCTGCCTCAATCAAATTCATAGTGCCCCTTGTTGATGGGAACTCAAATTTAGAACACACGTTGTGGCTAGTCACCGGCCATTTCCTATGTAGGGGACCTAACACCAAAGAATATTTGTGGTTGGTATAGTCCTTCGAATTCCATCATTATGATGTGTTTTTATCTAAAATCCCAAGACAATTTTGTTTTTCTGAAATGTTTTTGATAAGGTTATCCATCATTACCGAATATGATATGTTATTTTGGCCTCTCTCTCTCTCTCTCTCTCTCTCTCTCTCTCTATATATATATATATATATATATATATATGAACTCCATTATAAGTGAAGTTTCTACATGAATAATAATAATGTTAATTGAAGCATGCTTGCATGTTCTCAACTAAAACAATGGAGCAGGAAACTAAACATTAATACATTTGTCTCATTAAGGTTATGCCAGTAGTAAAAAACCACTTTAAAGATTAAGTATATTTCCTTGCATCAAAAAATAAACAAATAAATAAATACAAAGGTGTTAAAAGCTGAGTTATGGACCATTTTTCATATACTTAGCTTTCAGTTTGGGACCGACGTGCAGCTTGATTAGAATCTGATTCGGCTATAGCAGCTTAGCAGTTCATAAGTTGCTTACACCATGTTCCATTGCCAAAAAAACAACAGTAGTGGGATTTAAATTTTAGTACTTGAAATTTAATTTAATTAATTAATGTAATCATTTTTAGATTTAATTTAATATTATTGTTGAAAATAACTTTTGTGTTCCAAAAACTACTTTTCATCCAACCTCAATACTAAATAACCAAAAAAAAAGCTTTTCAGTTTAAAATTTTGATTTTGCAAGCAAACCAAAAGGCTACTAAAGAGGTATTTTTGCAGTGATAAAATGCTTTTGTGATAAAAAAAATTATTATATTACCCTATTTTATAATATTTATTATTTTATGCATATCTTTTTAAACATTTCAATTACTCATAACGTTTTTTTTCCAATAACATTAAATACTAAAAAATTTTAATCATACTTTTCTTATAACACTTTTTAAATGCATTTTTTTCAATCCAAAATTTTTTAATTGCAACAGTAATGTTAAATTAATCTTTAATATATGATATTTAATAAATTTAGAATTCAAATTTTAACATTAACAATCTCTTCTCCCATCCTCAAATTTCAATCTCTTTGTAATATATATATATATATATATATATATATATATATAATAGCATCTCTAGTTTGGACCTCATTAAGTATTACATAAATATACCTTTGAACTTGATGACTTAGCCAAGGAAATCAAGGGATTACTTTTTTAGTTTTTAATAATTAATTGGTTAAGTGTGTGTGTGTGTGTGTCATCACATCAACATAGCCTTATGAGTTTGGCTCCCTCTATAAAAAATTGTTAGGAAAAGTTTTTTTTTTTTTTTTATCAAGGAAAATTTAATTCTAAGAGCAGTTAACTTCTTTGCATATGAAATCATTTAATTTGTGCTTGCATAGAGTGAATGATATCACCAAATTCTTTGCAAGGTTGGTAACAAACCAGAAGTTTTGAATGCTAACTTCTCTATTGGGAAAAAGATAGGGATGAGCTTTTTAAGTACTAAAAAATCAATAAATATTCTAGTACATAACTTGGGCACGCTTCATGCAGCAAAAATAATAAATAAATTAAATAAATGGTGGCTACAACAAAATCTCAAACCATAAAATTAATGTTTCTAACAAAAGTTGACTTTCGTTGTTACAAATTGTAAAATAATACATCAGTTAATCTAACCCTAAAACGATTTGATTCAAGTTTGTTTATCTCCTTTTTTTAATTATATTTTGCATTTTTTTTAAAATTCTCTCACAATTTAGTGTCATTTGGTCAACTTGACCCTGTGGCTAGCCTCGTCCATTGATTTTTTATTTTGTTTGGGTATTTAAAGTTCATAGAGGTTGGAATTGATTAAGTTCAACAAACAAAAACCATTGGTGTCTGTTAGTTAATGGGCTAAAGATTTTCTTTTTTTTTTAATTATCACAAATAAAAAAATTAATTAATTAGGAATAATGAGTGGGCAAACCAATTTTTTATAGTTACTAGCGGCTTGCTAGTAGACTATTAATTTTTAGTCTAAATTATTAAAATTCAAAATTTAATGTTATAAGTATAAAAAATATATAAATTTTTAAATAATAGTAGACAGATTCCATATGAACAAAGGAAGGTAATGGATATATATCTACACAAAATAAAAAATATATTTGAATTAATTAGTATACATATATACCCTCTTCTTTGATTATTTATATAAACAACCAAAAAAAAATTCATTTTGTTTATGATTATCTTATATGTACATTCTATTTATCATCTCCTTGGCGTTGACGCTAAGTTGGCGGCTGAAAAAAGGAAATGGTTTCCTTTTCCTCCTTATTATTAATTTCCATTGAAAATGACGATTGAACAGAAAAGAATTGGCTAATCAGACACGAAGAAGGAAATATATTTTTATTTATAAAAGGCCAGAAATGAATTGTATTGAAGATTTCTCGCCGTCAAGACTCAAGAGGCAGCCATGGGGTCATGGGATATTGACTTAATTTTTGCTCTTTGAACAAAGTTTTGTCCAAAATTTTATAATGAAAAAGTCAATTCTGAGATGATTTGGTGTTCTTACCACTAGGGTCAACAAATTTTTGGTTTCCACTATTCATCACAACCCATGGAAACTTGCACCACTTGAACTTTGTTTACTTTTCATATAGACTACGGCGTCTTTGAGCTTTATTTAGACATAATTTTCATTTCGAGAGGTTTTAAGAGTGTATTGTTTTATATCAATTTAATGTATTTAAATTTTATTTTTAAAATATTATTTAAATATTCAAATGTAAATAATTAAAATTTTTCATTTCTTATCAATTGAACTAACCCGCATAAGTGATATCGAAAATTTGTTAAAAGATTTCATTGCTAAGTTCTTGCATAATTAAAAATTAATAAATGAAAAAGAAGAGTAGATTAGTAGGGTTGAGGCATGGGAAATTAATTGGAAAGCTTTGAAAGTGACATGTTCATTATTTTTATTGTTAGAAGTTGAGGTCGAGAAAGCTTTTGGAGCTCAAAGGCATCAGCTAAATGCTACTGTCCAATAGAAACTGTACATGAAGAGGTGAGAGCTAAAAAGGAAACATTTGAAAAGAATAGAAATTATCAGCTCTGCATAACATTTATGATATATTTTATAGTCACGTCATTTTCCTTTAATATCTTTAGGGTTTAGGATAGTTAATGACAACCTCAAGGACAAGGGAGTTAAAAATATTTGAGCCCAATTTGAAGACATTTTATTGGTAATTAAAGGTTGGAGAAAAGTTTCATTTAATTGTGAGTGAAACATATTAAAAAAAAAAAACAAATATCGATTTTTTTTTTTAAGATAAGATTAGATTCAATCAACGTATAAAGAAAATAAAGAATAATTTTTGAAAAAAAATTAGATTAGATAAATTTTAAAAATATTTATGATTTAAACATATTATTAAAAAAAAAAAAGAAGTTGGTTGTTGGAGAGTGGAGTTCCAAAATGCAATTCCAATTCATCAATTCAACAATAATTCAAGAGAAACTCAAGTCAAAATCTCCCTCTAATCACTTCCATTCGGCCCCTTTTAGCCCTAGTTACAATTCACCATCTTCTTCTTGGAATCTTCTTATAGAAGTTGGCAAAGTTGCAATAACAATTATCTTTTAAACTATCATTAATTGACGGATAAGGATGAGCTATCACTAATGACTGCTTCGTGTCGTTTTCCACCTCCAAATTTATCATTATAAATTCCTTAATGACCGTTTCTAAATATTGAACAATGACCCATCCAAACAAGTAAACCGGACAATGTAGTATATATTATTACTCAAATTAAAATTGATTTTTTAAAAAAATATATTGAAAAAATGTCAAATCACTTACATGAATTTGTTGAAATCAAAATCAGGAATAAAACATTCAAAATTCTTCCAAACTTATTATTTTAAAATACTTGAAATTATACTCTACTAATAAATCAACAAATTTTGATCCCACCAATTCAGTTCTACGGTTACTTTCACAAGATCAAGTTTATAATATCAAAACTCATAATACTTATTTCCCTTGGTTGAAACCATAATTTTTACCATATTAAACCACCAATGGCTACAATGGGGCAAATTATTTTCCATATCGAACAAAAATCCACCACACCAAAACCTTGCAGCCTAAGTTGGCACTTTGCCCTTTCATCATCAAATAGCGTACCACATCCGGAATTTTTGTTTTTCATTTTTAATTTTCCTTTTTTACTTCAAAGAATCACTTCTCTCTCTCTCTCTTTCCCCCTAGATGGCCACCTTACCTGCCTATATAATTACGGGCAGTTTCCCTCCCCTGTGCTTTTTGTATCAGCTTGGTAGAGCTTCAGACGAAGTTCAAAAAACGGTTTTTTTCTTTTTTTTCTTTTTCTTCTCAGAACCCCATAGTTTAACCATAAACACCCATCAGCTGTCTCTTCTGAAAAAGTTTTGTTCTTTTCAGAAATCTTCTTATGAAACATGGAAAATGAAGGGGACCATGTTGTTAAGAAACAGAATGGTGAAGGAACAAGCAAGACCAACAATAACACTCTCGATCCTTCACTTCAAAGGGTACTCCTTTTTTTTTTTGCTTTGCTTTTTTCTTTCAGTTTTTTGGCTTGCCTGCTTGTTAAAAATTATAGCTTTTTTTGGTAAATTTTGAAACTTTAGCTGTTTGTTGCTCAAAATGGTTGATGGGAATTCTTTCTTGCTTAAAGATTATGAATTTTTTCTCCTGCTTTTTCTTTCCCTTTTTTAGCTTTGATTTTTTCTCTATGTTGATTGAGAAAGCCACTTTTCAAGACCTAAGCCTTTAGGGTATCTCTGTTTTTTAACTTTCAAAAGAGAAATTTTAAAGAATGATAGGTTCAACTTCACCCTTGAGCTGTCTAAGATCACTTGCCTGAACTTTATGGACTTTCTTTTTTCTTTTTTCAAGCACATAAAAATTTGCTTTTTGCGACTTCTAGATAAGTTTCTCTCTGTAAATCAGCTCTACTGTACTATCTATACTGGGGAGGTACTGACTTCTTCTCTGGTAGAAAAACTGACTTAATTCTATATTCTGAGACTTGGCTAGGCGAAAGACTTTGCTGCAGTGTGCTAATTTTTGAAGAAGTCCACTTGCAAGGCAGACATAGGTTATCTGGAATTGTAACAAACACTAAAGCAATCATACCATATTTTTTTGAAGTCTTTCTAATCACAAATCTAAACTAAAACTAAGCCATGTTTGGAACTTGCAATTCACAAACATTTTGTCATAACAGACGAGGATGGACTGCCTAATACTTTTTAGTTCTGTAATACTTAAGGTAGCATTTTTGTCAGATCACGTTCCACTTTGTCTTGCTTGGCTACTTAAATCAATCACCTATTCAGCTTTCCCCTATCCTTGTGATTCTATGACGTCATACAAATGCAAATTAATATCTATTGATTGAAGCTAATTCTTTGGTTTCATTGGAGATTGTAAGTTGATTGGAGTTGGTGATATTTTGTGACGCTATAGAAGCTAAGATGCCTTCTATATAAAGATTGATTGATTAAAAATGTTAACTTTTGTTTTACACCTGATGACCTGATGGATGGGAGTTTTTTACAGGTTGGAGATTCAACTGAGATAATTGAAGAGACACCACTTGGTCAGCACCGAAGGCAGGACGACCTTGTCTTAGAGATACCGCCAAGTACTCTCGAAGATGCCAGGGAGGATTTTGTGAGAATAGACATGGCCATAACACCATCAACTACTCCTAAAAGAGTTAACTTTTCACCCATGTCTAGCCCTATTTTTTCCAGATTTGATGAGTCTCCAGCCAACTCATCAGCAAAAAGTAAATCATCCTTAAAAAGCCTCCTTCCAAAGTTAAGTTTCAAATATCGCAACACTAATTTGGAGATTGAGAAGGCTGCCATCTTAGCACTGGGAGGCTCATCAGCAGACATACAAGAGAAGCCTCGCATCCCAAGGACGTTTTCCGTCTCAAAGCTTTTCACACCAAGAATGAAGAATACATCATCCTTACCTGGTACTCCAATTGCCCATTCAAACCCAGAGTCCATGCATGGTGGACAGGTAACTGGCCTACTAAATCCTGCAGTAAGAATTGAATACATTAGCTATCATCTCAACTTCACTGAAGTCAATTGTGAACTACAAACACAATATTTTGAATTCAGGAACCTCCTCCCTATGCGTCAACTACTCAAGATCCTTAACAACTATTTATGTTGTTAGTACTTTAAGAGAGCTGTTAATTCATCTTGCTCATTATATTCAGTGGTATTTTTTTATCAATAACTGATGCTTATATACTTTGATACCCAATTAATTTCTTTCTCTGAATTTTCTATTCATGTAAATGTTTGCTGCACTTTAAAGTTTGAAGAGTACCCATATTTCTTGAACTTTTTGTATTGCATTTGCACATTCATGACCATTAGTTTTGTCAGGCATTGGCATCTAAAATTTTTAAATTGAATGGGGCCCATGACTTTGTGGATACAGCACAAGGTAGTTTCTATGCAGAACATAAGTTGGGGAACTTAGAATTTCCTTTGTTAATGTTAAGATTTATGCTTCTGAATTTGATAAATATTAGTGTCAATATCTCTTCTAAGGATTGCGGTTTTATTTTTGCATATTGCCTCAAGATATTATTTATGGCATGAATTTTCATTTTGACCTTTATCCTCACAATGTGTCATACTATTTTCTACTTGATTCTTACAGAATTGCTCACTTTACAGAAAGGAGGGGCCAGACCACCCATCCATCGTTCACACTCAGTTCCTGTGCTCAACAAAGATGGAAGCGTAACGCAGTTGGATTCTTTAGGAGGTGTATTTCGTGTAATTCTTACAACTCCACGAGCAGTCAAGGGATCTGTCGTGACAAAATCAAACATAGTTACCAAAAATGATACTGGTAATTTTAATACGCAGATTGTCTTTATTTGCTCTTAGAAGTTTGAACTCCTCACACCTTCCAACCAAGCCCAACATTCCACCCCCACCCACCCCCACTCTCCCTCGAAAACAAACAAACAAAAACTTATAATTAAAGAAAATTCTGAGGAAAAGAATTAAGTAAAGAGTAGTACCAAAAAAAAAAAAAAAAGAATTAAACAATGTGTGCAGGACTATAATTTTGAAATCAATAACTTGACATACTAGAAGGCCTCCATCTGTTAAATGGGCCAAGTCAGTTCAAATTGTGTATACTTCACAGAGCAAGAAATACCTTTGGATTTTCGCTGAGGCTATCTGGGCACTAGATAAAGTATCATTTTCATACAGTAGCAGAACTAAATAACAGCATAAAAGCTTCAACTTTTTGTACCAAATCTTGATTACTTGTCACCTAAAATTGAAAACCACATGCTTCTTATCACATATCTTTCTAAACAGAGTGGCTGCGTATGCTGGCAAATTTTTTTATTAGTGAAACCGATTAGATGCTTTCTAATTATTATTAATAATTATATTTAGCTTGTCATTTGGATAAACTCTGAATGCTATGATGTTCTAGCTTAACCTCTGCTTTCTTTTTATGCTTCTGATAACCAACCTATGTCTTATCTTAGTCTTATTGTTCAGATGGAAATGATGATGGTGGTGAAGATATTCCTGAAGAAGAAGCTGTTTGTAGAATCTGCTTGACTGAACTGGGAGAAGGTGCTGAGACCCTCAAGATGGAATGTAGTTGCAAAGGTGAACTTGCTCTTTCCCACCAAGAATGTGCCATAAAATGGTTTAGCATCAAAGGTAACAAAACATGTGACATTTGCAAGCAAGAGGTTCGAAACCTACCTGTTACTCTTTTACGAGTTCAAAATGTTCAGGCTCATAACTTGAGAGGCAGTGGGGCACGACTAGCTGAGGTTGCTAGATACAGGCAAGTATTTAGTGTCCACCTATGCAGTTGGCAACAAGTGATACCTGTAATCCATTTTTCCTTCTTTTATGACTACTTCAGAATGTAGAAGTTCTAAACTACTTGGCCGTGGACATTATGCATTTTCTGCTCTTATTTTGGTTCAATATCACTTTCAATGATTGCATATTCTTAACATAAAAGTATTTTTCACAGGGTCTGGCAGGATGTTCCTATTCTTGTCATTGTTAGCATGCTTGCTTACTTCTGTTTTCTTGAGCAGCTGCTGGTAAGTTTAGCAATTTGGAAATGCTTCCTTCGATTCAAGCTTTTCACTGTTCCTAAAGTTGCTATCTGCTCAGGTTACAAAAATGAAGTCCGGTGCGATTGCCATCTCTCTTCCTTTTTCCTGTATATTGGGTCTCCTTGCGTCCATGACATCAACAACAATGGGTGGGATTAATTTGTTCATGAAAAACTTTCTTTTGATAGTCATTTTCTTGTCAATTTGGTTATCTGTTTTACTGACTCGGAATCTTTTTTCTTTTTAGTGAGGAGAAAATATGTCTGGATTTATGCTACAATTCAATTTGGATTGGTGGTTGTTTCTGCTCATCTTTTCTACTCATTGGTAAGAGATATACTCTTTCTCATAATGGACATGGTTGAACAGTTAGAGTTCAGGAGCTCGGATTATAGCTTGCAGTATAGAACCTTTTTCTAATTGAAAGTGTATCCTTTTTTCTTGTGATCTACAGCTCCATGTGCAGGCTGTTCTTTCTGTTCTTCTCTCTGCATTTGTTGGGTTTGGAAGCACAATGTGTGGAACCTCTATTATTTATGAGGTTTCAAGAGGGTGGAGAAGGCGGTATGCAGAATCAAATCAACAACTTGGTTCTCAAGAGGTATCGAGGCCAGATCAACCACAGGTAACTGCACAACAAACACAGCCGGATACTCACTCTAATGAAACTGAAAGGAGAGTTTTAGAAAGTAGGAATGACAATTAAGTTAGCATATCTATAGAAACCATCTCATTTGGTAGAGATGCTTTACATGCTTGTCTATTTTTGCTGCTTTTATTAACACTGCATGGGGAAAAGCTTCCTTTTTTTTTTTTTTGGTTTAATTTCAGTTCCAGTAATATGCTGTAATAATGCTTCAATTCCCGTAGATCATTTTCACAACTCAATGAAGAGTGAAAATGAAATGACATCAACAAGTGTAAAAGATGTTGAATCTCAATATCTCAATTCCCAACTACCTCAAGGACGACAACAAGGGGTTCCCTCTCTGCCTTTGATAAAAACAAACATGAGTTGTATGGTAAATGTTGTGGCTAGGGACAAGTTGATGGTGAAAAGATTTGAATCTTGATTCGGTTCCTTTTTCTTCTTATACGGGCTTTGAATTCATTCAACCTTGTTTATCTCAACATAGTTTATTGGTCAAAAGTTTTTAAATGTTTACTTCAACCTTGAGCAGGTGAGCCTGAACAAGTCTTGGGATACGTCAGAGGGAAACATTAACTTGTAAAAAATTTTTTATCATCGTAACAAAAAGAATTATGCAAGATACATCATATAAGTTTAAACTCTATAAAAATTTTGGGGCTGGTTATTCAGCCTATTTAGTTAATTTCAAATTGAATTATGCAAAATCAAATTAATATATTTCATTTTGAATAATTTTGAACACCTAACTTTATTTCCAAGAGATAATTTTCAATTTTATTTCATAGAATAAACAGTAAAATCTTGTGTTTCTACCAAGTACCAAATCATCAAATAGTTGCCCTAATTTCAGGACAAGCTTGCCCACGTCCAGTCACCTAGATGCGTGAAGCTATCCGCTTGTTTAACATCAGTTTTTGGATGATCAACAAAAATCATATGGTAGTGGTGATGATGCATCACCATTAATTAATAATCACTCGAATACACATCTAAGATATACAAATCTTAAAGGAGCAACTTCTTGTTATTCCTGTCTATGTCATAAATATATATATATATATATATATTCTAGTAATAACCGTTTGTGCTTACAATGGAGGTTTCTTTCTTCCTTCAGACCTCTTCATGCTGTCAATGGCATTTTCAATGGATTCAGTCGGTTCATCTCATTGCAATTCAATTACGTTCACACGGTCGTACTTTGAGAAAAACAACTGCATAAATAGAGATGAACGTCCACACTAGCAAATTGAAACGCAACTCCAGCTGAAAAAAAAAGAGCTTTGATTTGGCTTAAATCTTTTGAGGATAGTCTGGTCATTGTTTGTAGCTAGAACCGCCAATCTTGCAGGAAAGTAATGGCTTATCCTTGGAACTAGTACTTAACACAGTTTCACTGTTGCTTCATTGGCTTTCTGCAACACCCGGTCTCATCCAGATTTTTATGTGCCCCTCTCGACAAACAGTAAGTACAGATTCCTGGGTAAAAGTCAAGCCCGAGAGGGGTTCAGTGTGAACACGATGAGCAACCACTGGTGAAATTTTTGGAACATCTCGAATGTTTGGGGCAGGTTGCAGGGTACCCAATGGGAATACACTGTCCCAGTGGGAAGATTGGCTCCCGGTGCTGTAAGTGGGAGACCCACCAGGAGGGCATCGACGCAATGGCACTACAATTTCATCCATTTCCAGGTCCCACAATAGCAACCGCGTGTCCTATAAAGAAGGCAGTAATGAGACATGAAGTATACAGCAGGTGCTGCAAGGGAGTTTCTTTTTTCTCAAGGAAATACCATAAACAAAATGTTCATCAAGTTTATTCTTAGCTATATTACTTGGGCTCTTCATTTTCTCTTAAGCATCCCTATCCAACACATATCCAACCATGGATTCTAAGATCTACCACTCCAAATATATAAAAATATATATATGAAAAAATGTAGAAAAAATTGAGCATATTTGTGCCCACACATAACCATTGTTGCAATTTGCGAATTCAAGAATCCGACCGTTTAGATGAATTTTTAAATTAAAATAAAAAATCACCACTAATCATTTTTATTATCACTTAAAATTTTATTTTTTTAATAAAATTAATTTAAAATTTATCAAAAAAATAATTTTGATATTTAAAAACAAAATTACATTTAAAAGTATGATAAAACGTGAAAAATATTTATACTCCTACAACACTTATTTTAAAAATAATATCAATTAATTATGTGTTATTTTTACGGTGTTAGACAAAAATAATTCACTTTATTTTATAATAATTCCCTTCACTTTTTGAAATCAATATTTATTAGGTAAAAAAGAAAATATGATTTAGAAATAAAATAAAAACCTTAAAATTAAAAAATTATCTTAAAACTCTCCATCATCTAGATGAAATTTTAAAATAACCCTTTTAACTAAGATTCATTATAATAATCCCTTAAAAGTAATATTTATTGCAAATAATAATTATTAATAACTCTTCGACGACTAAATAAAGTACTAATAATTATTTCCCTCATAATGTTATTTTAATTGTATTTCACAAAATCTCCCTTTTTTTAGGAATATCATTTTGATAAAGACCAAACAATTTATGCAACAAAACTGGAAATAAAGTTATTAATAAATAAACAGTAATAATTGAAAGGAACAAACAAATAAGATTAAATGCATGCAATTATTTAAAAAAAAAAAAAAAAAAGAAGGGTTTCAGAAGGTCTAGGTTTCATAAAAATTTAAGGTTTCGGGTAAATTTAAGATTTTAGATAAGTTTAAAGTTTCAAGAAAGTTGAAGGTTTCAAAAAGGCTTTAGGGGAAAACCAAGAATCGATGGTAATTTAAACTTTTCATAAATCCCCAATATTTAAGTGCACCTTTAAAGCAAGTTTAATTAGCATTATCTTTACTTTTTCACATACAATCACTTATAAACAAGGATCAAACTTTATGCAAGGTGTGATTAACATGCATGCAAATAGTTATGACATTTATTAATGCTAAATATGATACTAAACGATGGATAATTAAACTAATTCTAATGCAACAAAATGACCAAATAACACAAAGTAAACAAATTGATCAAGATTCATTTCCACTATCATCATCTCACAAACAAAATATTAATGAGCATCAAATTGCAAGAAAAATTAAAGGAACAAGAAGCTTAAACCAAATCCAAACAAAAAACTAAAATCTGGAGCAGCCTTCAATCAAACTCATTTCAAGCTCAAACTATGAGGTGTTTGGCTATAAAATTTTATGCAGACTTAACTAACTGATATATGAACAAGTAGTAAAAATCCTAGAACAAAATAAAACCGAATGGCACTTGAAATCTAACCAAAACCGTGACCAAACAAAATCTAAAATTTCAAATCTAAAAATAGAACAACTCCAATAACTAAAAAACTCAGCTCTAGCTCAAATTACTAGGAATTTTGCTCTCAAATTTTATGTAGAAGTAGTTAACTCATAGATGAACAAGTTTAAAAATCTTGGAGCAAAATTAAATCGAATTGCACAACAATTATTTAAAGCCGAAGCTAAACTGAATTTGGAAAACAAACAGAATCTGGAGTAGCATCCATTCAATCTAGGTTCTAGCTCTCATCTCATGGAACTACTCTCAAGTTTTATGGAGGTTTAATTAACTGATGTATAATCATGTAATAAAAAGCTTAGATCAAATTAAAAACAGTTAGTGGTCATTAACCAAACAGCAAATATATCAAAACCTAGAAACAGAAAACCAGATTCTGGAGCAGCAGTTGAACAATTTCAATTTAAACTCAAAATACATGGAGTTTAGCTCTAAAATTTGATGGAGACCTAGCTAACTGGTGTAATTACAAGAGTTAAAAAGATTAAAACCAAATAAAACTGAATTGCACAAAAAAATTAAATGAAACCGCAAGCCAGAATCCGAAAATAGAGTTTGCTAATTATAGAGTTGAAAAAACATCAAATTATCAATGAATTTAAACAACTTTAAAAATGAAAAGACAATGGAAAACTTGAAATATGGTAGCTCAAAATGCATAAAAGATGCTTAAGCTATGAAAGAGACTACATGCAAGGGGATGAAGTCACATGGAAGAAAAGATGAAAGAATGGATAGAAGATACTAACTTTCAAGCTTTCCAATTTTTTTTGCAATTTTTTCCTTTCCTTGTTCAGGGGGGCCGTGACTTCAAAAGAGGGAAGAAGAGAGCAAATCCTCCATTAGCTCTCATTCTTTCTTCTTAAAGAAATCCTCTCTTCCTAGCCATTAGATCAATGTAGAGATTTGTTTGACATTTTCCGACGACACTTAATGTGAAAGGTTTTGAATATAGGCCATTAGATTAAAAAACTGCAATCTAAAGGTTGAAAATGCTCCCTACATTTTCTCGTCTTTATGCATTTTTTTTTAGACCGTAGATTGAAATCATGCCAAACTTAGTTAGCAAGGCTATGAATGTAGATCCATGGATGATTGTACTACAAAATTTGATGGTTCACATTAATTACAGCACATTCCCTTGGTTGTATATGAAGCTGTCCCATCATGAATGTAAAATTATGAATTTGCCTTTCTTTGAACAAATTAGGCATTTTCACATTTTTCTTTTGATTTTTTGTTCCAATGCCACTCCTTTGATTTTATTATGTATAAAAATGATAATGCACATCTCTAAACCTAAATTTGCCCCCGCACCCAAAATCCAACCTCGTTTTAACCAAATTTATGAAAATGCCCTTAAAGCTCGTTTTTAGACTTTTGTGGTGCTTTTGGAGTCGAACTTCAATTTTTTAAGATCCCAATTCATATTTCTATTAATTTTAAGCCTTAATAATCCCAATCAATACAATTTTGAAAGTTGACCTAGACTTGACCAAAAGGTATTTTGGTCCAAGATTAAATTTTTTATCAAATTTAAAGTTTTTTTATTGAATTAGCTTTATCCAAGTTTGACCAAGTTAACTCGACTTTGACCAAGTTGACTCGAGTTTGACCCAATTTTAACCGAATTTGACCAAGGGATATTTTGATCAAAATCCAAGCTTTTTTCAAATCCAAAGGTTTCCCACTTAATTTTTTTCAAAACTCTAATATTTGACAAAGTTTGACCAAACAAACCCATGATTGACCAAACAAACCCATGTTTGACCAAAGTTTGACCCAAAAATTTGACTGAAGTATTTTCAAAGTTTACACATGATTTGACCAACGATCCCAGTTTCAAAAGATTTCAAAATTTTCCACATGGTTTTTTGTCTCAAAAGTATAAGTTTAACTAAGTTGACTTTTGACTTCCTTTGACTTTCACCATCTTTCTTTATTGTCAAGTCCAAAATCAACTTATTCAAATAACTTGAAATATTCATGAAGTTCAAAGTATTTGGAAACGACCCGAATCTTGACTTTTAAATATCGAATTTGATTAGAATATTTTTGAATAAAATTAGATATCTACAGTTATCTCTCTTTGCATATGTCTGAGAATCAAGAATAATACAAAGATAAAGACTAACAATTTTGTCCAAGATTAACAACTTAAAATGTTTTTGTTTTTTTTTTTGTTTTTTGCCCAAAAATGCAAATTGAAAAGCTAATCTCATTAAAGGTTCCACAACTTTTGAAAATAAATTTGAAAAAGCTCATTTCAATAAAGGCTCAACAACTTTAGAAATCTTTTCACAATGTTGGGGGTTCTAGATGCCGACTAAACTAGATTTACAAGACTCTGTGCTAGCTAGGTTGGGCTTGAAAAATCTATCAACTGACACCAAGGGCTTAAGACTTTTATTCAGTACCATGGACTTAAACCTCCATTTCAGCTAGGTTGCGCATAAACCTTACCTAGTATCAACTTTAGTGGTCTTAAACCTTACCTAGTACCAACTTCATTGGTCTTAAAACTCTCCTAGTGCCATTTTCACCGGACTTAAACTTTTGGGACAGTTAGATTCGGCTTAAATCTCTCCTAGTGCCAATTTCACTAGTTTTAAACCTCTCCTAGTGCCATTTTAATTTGACTTAAACTTCCGTGCTGATTAGATTGGGCTTAAACCTCTCCTAGTGCCAACTTCATTGTGCTTAAACTTTATTGCCAACTAAATTAGGCTTAAACATCTCTTAGTGCCAACTTCACTATGCTTAAACTTTTGTGTCAGCTAGATTAAGCTTAAAATATCATCTTAAATAAACTATCTAAAAAAATCTAACTTTTTCCAAAAATCCTCAATGTCTTATCTTTCTAAGAAAAACTTTTCTTATCTTTCTTGTTTTCTAGACATCATATATCTTTTCTATATTTTCTTGGTAGCTTTTTTTTTTTATGATTTGCTTTTTTGTGAACTCTTTCTTTTCTTCCTTATTTTTGAACAGACTTGTTTTCTTATTTTTGACTTGTCAGACTCTTTTCCTCTTTTTTTTTTTTTTTTGACAGATTCTCTCATTTTTTTAGGACTAAAAAAATTTTATACAACTCTTTTCCTCAATGTCTGCAAATTTGGCAAATGCAACTATGATCCACACGTCTATTTCCAAAACAATAGCAAAAATGTAAATGTCTTTATGTAGATACAAATGATGTCAAGACATGTAAAAATCCTTATCAATAATGTACATGAAAATGTCCTTTTCATGATGAAAATACCCTTTACAAAGATGCAAATGCATAAAATTTTTCAACAATGAAGATGTGAACTTTTTTTCCATTGTGCAAATATCCTACAAAAATGCAAATGCAAAATTCCTTACCAAAAAATTTCCTTTTCAAGATGTGAATCCCCTTACAAAGACGCAAAAGCAAATATTCATGCAAATTCAGATGCCTCCCTTTCTTATGATAAAACCTTTTACATAAATGTAAATGTTCAAAGATGATGCATATGCCTCCTTAAAAGATTCTATCAATGTCGCAAATGCCAATGTCTTTTACAAGTTGCAAATTACGCGAATGTAAATGCTTTTTCCAATGATGCAAATGTTCCACACAAATATGCAAATGCAAATGTCTTTTTCACGATACCAATGATCCATGTGAATATGCAAATACAAGATCCCTTTACCCGTAAATTTACTTTTCGAGGTACAAATGCAAATATGAAAAAGTAAATGCAAAGATCTTTACCAATAATGGAGACGTACATTTCTTTTTCACGATGCAAATGCTTCTACAAGGATGCAAATATGAATATTTGTCCCAACGATGCATGTCCCTAAGAAAAATTAAGACCATAATTTTTTCCGGGCACATTCCAGTCAAACTTTGGCTTTTAGAAGCAAGACTTGGGTCTTTGTCCAAAAAGTTTTGAACCCTACAAGCACTTTGAGTCTTTTGAACAAGTTGATTTTTGGACTTGACACTAAAGGAAAGTGATCAAAATTAAGGTAAAGTCAAAGTCAACTTGGTCAAACTTCAATTTCAAGGTCAAAATCAAGGAAAAAGTTTTGAACCATGTTGAAACCCAAACCGCAGGTTGATCCACGCATCAAAACTTTGAAAATTTTTTGTCAAATTTTCAGTCATCCACAGGTCAAACCCGATCAAACCCTAGCCAACTTTGTCAACTTAAGCCAAATCGCATGATTTAGATAGAACTTCATGGACAAACCCTAGAGTTAATCAAAACATGCTTTTTTTACCAAAATACCCATCAATCAAGCTTTAGTCAAAGTTGGTCAAACTTGATCAAATCCCGGCCAATTTTCTTAGCCCAAGCCAAATCGTCAAATTTTTATAAAACTTCATGGAAAACCTTAGATTTGATTAAAAAATGCATTTGAACAAAATACCCATCGGTCAAACTTGGATCAAACTTGATCAAAATGATCTAAAGAGGATCCTAGCTTATTCAACTTGTAGTCAATTAGGCCATATGATCTTTGTTGAAGGCATCTCTAACTATTATGTTAGCATCTTTCATTTAATGTATCATGTGTTTTTCAAAACATTACTATTCCTTAGTGTAGGTTAGGTGATTCATGCCATGTCAGATGAGCAAGATATGTGGAAGATGGGGGGGGTTGCCTCCTCGTTCCCTTTACCTATGCCATGATGCTCATGGGCAGCTTATCTCTAATTGGATTCCTTTTCTAACTAGATTTTATTTCAAAGATGTGACCTTAAGAGCTCGCTTACACTAAGTATACAATTAGCGCGAACTTTGCTTTCTAGTCAAACCTTGAAAATCGAGTAAATTGGAAATAATTTTTAATTAATTTTATTTCGGCTCTCAAAAATCAAATTTTAGTCTCAAACGAGCCACCAAGTCCAAAAACTCCCTTTAGGAACATACCCGTAAACTTGGTCAAAACGAAGTTAAATTTTTTATATGAACACGAATTTAGGTTTAGAGATCCCACTATCATTTTTTCGAATTAATAAAGTTAAAAGATCGACATTGGAAAGGAAAAATCAAATGAAAATTGCAAAAAGGCCTAATTCGCTTAAGAGGGGCAAAATCATCATTTCACATTGTAAAATTGAATGGTTCACAAAAAGATGAGAAATGTTGGGAGCATTTTCAATTATTTCATTAAAGTACTTTAATCCAATGGCCTACATCCATAACCTTGCTCATCAAGTTTGGCACATAAAGACAAATCAATCCTCTCCCTCGATAGATGTTAATCTAAAGGCTAAGAAGAAAAGTACATAAAGATGAAAAAATGTAGGGAGCATTTTCAACCTTAGATTAAAGTACCTTAATCCAATGGCCTACATTCAAAACCTTCTTCATAAAGTTTTAGAGAAAAATGCCAAACAAATCTCCCCAATTGATGTACATTGATCTAATGACTAGAAAAGGAGGAAGGTTTCTTTAAAAGAAAGCTTTAGTGCTAATGAATGGATTTTTCTCTCTTGGACATTAGAAAAGTGACAGCACCTTAAAGAGGAAAGGGAGAAAAAAAAATGGTGAAAGCAAGGAAGGTAGCATTTTTATCCCTTTTTCCATCTTTTCTCCCATGCAAAATACATTCCCATACATGTAGTCTCTTCCATATCTTAAGAATCTTTTATGCATTTTGAACTACTGTTTTTCAAGTTTTGCATTGTCTTTTCATTCCTAAATCATCTTACCTTATAATTAAATGTTCATCTTGTCTTTAAAAGCTTTAAAACCTTTGCTTTCCATGCAAAGTTTTTTTATTATTTTATTTTCCCACACTGTTAAGGTACTGTTCTATTAATTTTCACTTGCCATTTGATGTTTGTTTGCTGTAAGATTTTTGTCACTTGTCCATCTATTAGTTAGCTAGTTTCACAAGAAATTTGAAGTTTAAATTTGTTGATTTGAGCTTGCAATTTGATGGTTTCCCAAATCTGTTCTTAATCAGCAAACTTTGTTTCCAGGTTATGAGTTGTTGCAGTTTTGTTTAATTTTCTTACACAATTTGATTTTATTTGGCTCCAATCTTTTTAGCACTTGTTCTTACATCGGTTAACTAGGTCTCCATCAAATCTTAGAGCTAAACTCCTTGTATTTTGAGCTTAAATTGAAATTGTTCAGCTGTTCTGTTTTCAAGTTTAGATGTATTTACTGTTGGTTAATGATCAATAACATTTTGTTTTTAATTTGGTCCGAGCTTTTTAGTACATGTTCATACATCAGTTAGTTACATCTCCATAAAATTTGAATCTAATTCTACGAGATGAGAGTTTTCTAGATTGAATGGATGCTACTCCAGATCCTATTTGCTGATTTCTAGATTCAATTTAGCTTTGGTTTTAAATGATTTTCAGCTGCAATTTGGTTTAATTTTGCTCCAAGCTTTTTAATACTTGTTCATCTGAGTTAGCTATTTCTACATAAAATTTTGGAGCAAAATTCAATGTATTTTGAGCTAGATCTGAGTTTTTTGAGGAGTTGTTCAGTTTTCCAATTTGAAATTCCAGATTCTGTTAGGTCACATTTTTTGTAAGATTTCAATGTCATTCAGTTTTATTCTAAATTACCATCGATGCTCATTTTTAACCCGTAAACCCTAAACAAAACCCTAAAACTTACCCCTTTATCCGAAACCCTAAGCTTAACCCCTAAATCAAAAACCTAAACTCTTAACCCAAACCCTAAATCCAAAACCCTAAACTCTAAATCCAAACCCTAAGCCTTTAACTCTAAACCCTAATCCAAACCCTTGACCCTAAATTTGAACTCGGGGTTATACCCTAAACCCTAGGTTTGCCCTAAACCCTAGTTAAACCGTAACCCTAAAGTTAACCCTAAGCCTTGAATCCATACCCAAAACCCTGATTCCGATTGCATTCATTTGCATTTTAATTGACATTCACATGTTTTGTTTGTTTCATACTCCATTTACATGCATTTTAATTGGCATTTGCGTTACATAATTTATTGCATTTACATGCATTTTAATTGCCATTTGCATTACACAGTTTATTGTATTTACATGCATTTTAATTCGTATTGACATTGTTTAACTTATTGCATTCACAGGAATTTTATCATTTTATGGCAATCAATGGTTTTAAACACGGGGAAGTTTTTTTTTAGAAATAAAATAAGATATATCCTAAGTAAAAATAATTCTTGAGACCTTAAATATTGGAAAAAATATCTTTGATTTTAAGGATTGTTATGGAAATCCCAAAATGGAGAATGTTTGCCATATTCCACCTAAAAATTGGGAAATTTAGATAATGTTCCGAAATCAAAGGTTTTTGTTCTAATCCAAAATAATATAAATCATTTTCTTTACAAATGGAAAAGGGATTTTATGATAATAAATTAAATTTGAGGGATTATTTCTAAATATTAAGATTAAGACCATTTTTATCAAGACCAACGGATGAAATGCGTTTAAATGGTACTGTTTTTAAAACGGGTGCTGTGGGGTGCTAATCATTCCTCACGTATGACTGCACTTCCAAACCCAACTTCATTTTTCATAGACTAAATATGTCTTTTTAATATATCTTAAACTATTTTTAAGTTTTATTTTAAAAAAAAATTAGGTGACCAATCTTACCTAATCAAAAAAGATTGATATGACTCCTTGTTTTGATATTTTTTTTAAATTCATCTGGCAGTCGGGTTCTACAAGCCCGCATGTTGCAACATCCATGTTTGACACTCATCTTTCAGTCTGAGTAACATAGATTCTCAGAGCCTAACTTCAATTCTAATATATTAATTAATGCTTAAAACCTGCAGTTAGTTGTCCCCCTCAACAAGAAAGTGGGAATTACTTATTGATAGTCTACAGAGAGAGAAACCATCTCTAAACCTTTTCTGTCGACATATCAGGGACTTGGGGCTCCACAAGATGCTATTTAAACAAGAACCTAAGCCAAGTAACCTACAATGTATGGTAACCGATGCAGACCTAGAGTTTCATACAATTAAAATCTAAATATTTCCTACAATCTATACTCGACCCATGTACTATACCACCGCTATTCCATCCTGGAAACAGCCAACTGGGGCATAGGTAGAAAAAGGAGGCAACCACAACCTCTAGAAATGTTCCTTCAGCAACAATGATGCAAATGTCAGGCACCTATAACTTGCAAAAGCTAGACTTTTGTGGAACTTAGTAATTGAATTAACATAAACATGATCAAAAAACATGAGCATGAAACAACATTTAATTATTTTGACAAGACTACGAACATCTATATACCTGACCAACAGAGCCAAACCGGTACATCACAGTCTCCCCTCCGCCATCGGAATTAGGTGAAGACCAATACGAATCAAACACAACTTCACTAACCTGCCAGCACATTTACAAAGAAATAAGTACAGAAACATCATCATCCACAATAAATAAACAGAAGCCTTATCTATAAGATAAGAATCTTACCCATGAGTTATGCCCCTCACCCTGTGCCACAACCTTTCGATCCTCCATACTCCAAACTTGAACCAAGTCATCTTCGCCTCCGGTCAGAATATATTTCCCATCCATACTGTTCAGTGGACATTTTTGTCAGTAACAAGTTTTATTTTCTCCAAAGGTGATAGTTCAGATACCATATAAAAAAAAAATGGAAAGTGACATTCAAAACACGGTATACTCTAGATAAACAGCATACACAAGTTTACATAGTTTGTCTAAAACAAGAATACAGAACCTCCAAGCACAACATAGTAGAGCACCATAATAACTTTTGCCACCAAATACAAGCTGTTCTTTTGAATAGTCAAAAACACGCAGATAACCTGCACTCAGTATGTGGAAAGAGAAAAACTTCAAACAAACTAGAAAAGAAAACAACCATAAAAAGCAAATGATGTCAATTTGATTTGATACCATCTCTTCCGACGGTTGCTAAGTAGGCCCCATCAAAGGAGAAAGCAATGCTATTAATTGAACCTTGACAAACGTGCCATCTTGCAATTGGGTTACTCTGCAAGGAAATAATGTCAAGTCAAAAAAACAAATAAAATGTGGAAAGACAGGAGGAAAATTTCTATGGCTTCCTAAAATGATGTCAAACAACAGACTAATACCAATTTATCTTGCTAAGGAAGGTCCTATCTTGCCAGATATCAAGATTATCATGGCATTAACTGTAAAAAAAAAAAAAAAAATACCTATATAAACCAAAACGCAAGCACAAGACTACATTGCCAGCTAAATGTGTTGAGTAAAGGTTTTGAGCATGCATGATTAATCGGGGTTTCTATTAGAATTCCTAGCAGCTCTTCAAAAAAAATAACATGGGAAAAGTTAAGACTACTTTCAGCTGTTTAAGAAATTTAGGTGTCAATTCCCATTTTGACAATGTAAACTATGCAACCTCAGCAACACGTGCATCATCTAATTTAAACAGAATGTTGTTTGGCTAGAACCTAGAAGTACATATAGTGAAAAGCTATGCAGCACCTACTATAACTATACACATAATATAAGCATTAACAGCGTCCAGCTTTAGATAATAGTTCTAAGGTAAAGACTACCAATTTTTGGGAAGCATACACAAACAAGAAAGTCTAAAATAGTTTTCCAAAATAAACACTGACTGGTACCTTACTGTAACGTGCATGAGAAACAGAAAATTGGTTTTGGTCTTTGACAACAGAGAATGAAGAATCACTGGCACCATCCTTGTTCTGGAGGGCACAAGAAGAAAAAAAAAAGAGAGAAAAAAGATAAAAACTTAAAAAACAACTTACTGCATAGAACATCATGAAATTGTAAGTTGTACCCCCAGAAGTGAAAAAGTCTTCTTTAATTATTGGAAACTTGCCTTTTCATACACATACATGTTTCCATCAGTATGAGCAACCACAAAAACACCATCACCTCCAGGAACCCATGCAATACTAGTACAGTGACTGCTGGAAATAACAAGCATTAATCAGATAGGCGACAGAGTCAACCCAATTAAAAACATCAATTCAAGATAAACAGTCACAAAAGTCAGTGCCCCTTTTATCATCCTGAGGGAAAGCCCAAGAGGAAAGAAAATTATAGAAATAGCAGCAGAAGACAAGTCGAATATTGCTAACCTTATATTGGCAGTATTGATACCTTAGAAGTACAGCTCATATATTGAAGGTCAAAGAGAAAACAAATGAAGCAGTCTATAGCAAGGTCCCAAGGCAGATAGAAAATTAAATTTATGGGTTACTGAAACACAATATTGCCCCTATAAAACAACAAAAACAAATTCCTGAAACAAGATATTTTCATAATAATTAAAGCGAGTAAGCTGCATATGCACCATTTGAAAGAAAAACTAAGCTATGTAAAATGTCAGTGAAATTATCCTGCTCCAAACCATTGGATGTTACAATCTATCTTTACAACATCCTAGACCAGTTCAGAGCACAAAAATCTACGAATCAAATGCAGGAAGACCTAAAACAGAACATCTTGAACTTAAAAATTTTTAAAAGAAAACTCAGATGGTAAAGAAAGGTTCAAAAAGTCAAAACTTTGAAAAGTCAGAAAATGTATAAAAGGATTTAGTGACGTCAATCTTGCCTGTTATTGACAGAACCTTCTTTATTGTAATGCTGTGCCCCAACAAGCCTTTTTCCAACATCCTGTAACTGCTGTCTCAGTGACACTGAGTAAACTACAGTAATAACACAGAACCCATAAATTTATAAAGTTTAAACCTTAGAATTAAAATTGGAAATTAGAAAAAGCTAAAAAGGATTACCATCACCAGAATTCAACCCAATAAGCAAATCATGCCCATCCTTGGCATCCTGATCAAACGCATGGCAGACAGGGTTTGAATTGCTGAAATGGATAGACTTTATTGGATCCTACATTGAAAACCAAGATACTTAAAATAGCAACATGTAAAACTCTTCACATTTTTCAAAAACCCTAACAACAAAATTCTAAATTACCTTATCCTGAGAATTCAAATCACTGATAAAAATAGCATCACCAACATTGAAAATTAAATAAGTTCCTTTCCCATCAAAATTTGAATTAGTCATGGAATTACTCGAACTCGAAGCACCTAATGACCCAATCCTACTACTACTACTACTACTACTACTACTAATACTTTTACTCCCAACATTCCCACCAACAAAGCCAAGTGCACGGCTCCCATTCCCAGCACCTAGCCACCTCGCTGCTGCTGATCTTACCCCACTGCTAGCACTGAAGCTGGACGATGAAGCTGTTGGAGTTGATGGAGCTGGTTTGTCCTTCAGATGCGCTAGGGTAACCTGACAATCAAACTTAATCAAATAAAATCTAGAAAACCAATACTGAAACATAATATAACACAAAAAGATTGAAAATTGAATTTAGAAATATGGGCATTGATTCAAAGTCCTTAAAATTCAATCTTTCAACCAACAATGCTCAAATTGATAATACAAATTAACCTAATAAAGACGTTCATTTACTGCTTCCAACAAATGGGTACTTGTTAAAAATCCTATTTTTACTAATGAATTGAAAACGTTCTCATTATCCAATTATAGAATTTAAGTATCAAAAATACCAAAAAGGAATCCCATACTACAAAAATAAAAATAAAAAAAGATCAATTTAAAGTGATATCAAAAGAAGGGTCTTGATTAAAACCCAAAAAACAATAACTCAAAAAATAGTTTTTTTTTTCAATAATTTAAGAAAATGGACACTAAAAAAAAAAAAAAAACCTAGAAATATGAAGTTACCTGAGTAACAGTTTTGCCGTGAGCATAGTGAAGAAGGCCAGAAGGGTGAGTCTTTTCATAGTGAAGCTTATATCGACCTTCTGGGGTTTTAAAATAAGTCTTCAAACCCGGCGATTGAGCGTTCGCCGATGAAGATGATGCCGAAATCATACCGTTGGCTGTTTTGATCATGGTGTCTCTTATCATATAGCCGATAACATCTGATCATGACACTCAAGGGTTTCTTTTTTTCTTCTTCCTTTTGTTATCAATTTTGAACTTTTCTTATTTCCTAGGACAAAAGCAACAAAACCCCAAAAAGGAAAAAATAAAGTAAAACTTTCTTTTTCTTTTGTGTTCTTCGATGTCTACGGAGATCAAAGAAGGAGAAGGGATCCTCGTTGTGGCTTACGAGAAAGCTTTTCAGTTTTCAATGGTGTGTTTGTAATCTGGGTTTTGACAAAGGTTTGACTTTTTGAGAGAATTTGGAGAAAGTCCACTGAATGGACGATGGAGATGGGGTGGAGGATTGAAGAGAGTGCTTTTTTTCTGGCTTTGAAGTTATAGTAAACTGAGAAAGGGAGAGGAGAGAGTGATTAAGAGAAAATGGGTGAGATTTTCTGTGTTTTTCTTTATTTGTGTGAGTTTGAGATTTGATATATTCAGATTTTGCACCTCTTAGCGTGCTCTTTACTGTTTGTGCTCCAAAGTTTTTTTTTTTTTTTTAAATGATTTTTATAAAGTTAAAATACTAAAAAAAAATTCGTATATTTTACCATTTTATTTATTTAAATAAATTTTTATATTTTTATCTAAATAAATTTCTGTTTTTTTATTTATATCTAAATAAATTTTTATTTAAAAAATATTAATTTATATTAAAAATTATTTAAATATAAATTAAATATTTAAATTTTATTTGAATACTAATTAAAATTAAATTTTTTATTTTAATATAAAATAAAAATTAATAATTTAATTAAATGTAATAAAAATATAAAACTTTATCTAAAAATAGGATAAAATTAAGAAATTTTTTATTTTTTTTATTTTTTTATAAATATTTTTTAAAAAGTATATGCAAAGCTAATGGAAATTCCGTGGCTTTCATTGTGGGTTTGAGTTTGAGGGGTTGAAGATTGAAATGGGCCTTTGGATGAAAATTGAGGAGTATTTAAATAACCATAACTGGGCAAATATACAAGCAATGGTGAAAATTTTTCCATGTGATAAATCAAGAAAGAAAATGAAGGTTGTCGTTGAGGAGATGCACTATAATCGGTTAAAAGGAAAGAAAAATTAATTCTTTAGGCAAATTAAATAAATAATTAAAATTTATATTTAATTATATAATTATTTTAAAAAATTAACATTTAATAATTTTAAATTTTAAATTTTAAGATATATAAGTCATGTTTGATATATTAAATTATGATAAGATAAGATAAAATGATATTATAAATATAATTAAATTAAATAATATCATCTTATTTTATATTTAATGTATATAAAAATTAATATATGATAATTTATTTATTAGTTAAAATTATCTTTTTTTTAAATTTATATAATTTAAATTATTGATATAATTTTTTAAAAATATAATACAATATATAAGTTTAATTTTATGAATTAAAAATTATTTTTTTCACTTTAAAAAGATTGAATCATTATATATCAAAATAATGATAATTTTTTTCCTTATAATTCTATCTCTTCAATTAAATATAAATCAAATATAATATTAAATAATTATCATACTATTATATATCATCTTATACATCAAATATAATCGTAACTTTTCTTCTATAGTCATATTAAGATTTTTTTTATATAAAAAATTAAATAGACACATTGTATTTTCTTGTTTCCATTTGGGTAAAAGAACAAGCTTATTCATTTGATTATTGGGCTAAGAAAAGCAAGTTAAAAGGCCCAGTTAGAATTCCTCATTTGGACTCTTGAGCCTAGAAATAAAATGTAACCCTTAGATCGATTGAGCCCATAAAGGGTAGTTCTTTTCTGAAGGTAGAGCCCATATCATTCCAATTCATTGTTTCATGAGTCCAGTCCAGTTGAATTTTCAATAGTTCATCAATTTTGGTCAGCAAACTAATTACTACTAGAAAATATCTGGTGTTGCCGTAGATATTTTTTTTATTTTTTCATTTTTTATTCATAAATTTTTTTATAAAATTTATATAAGAAAAAATAGATAAAAGATAAACGAAAATAATACTTGAATACCTTAATTATTTTTTATAAAATTTATTCCATAAAAATTTTAAAAGCAAAAAAGGTCAAAAAAATGTGAAGAAGGAGAAAATAAAAAAACACAAAATGAGAATGAAAAAAAATAAGGCCTCCTTTTTTTCATAAAATTTATCCAATAAAAAATAAATACCAAAAACAAAAATGATAAAAAAAAAGTGGTGAAGGAAAAAACAAAGAAAAATGCATACAAATGAGAAAAAAAATTAAAATATTAATTTATTAAATTAAAGTAAAAAATAATTTTATTAATATAATACATGCATATGTATAAAATTAAGTAAATAATAAAATATATATCTCAAAATAATTAAGATAAAACAACCTAAATACGTTTTCGAACTAAGTTTGTTTCTCATTAAAAAATTCAAGTTGTCTCAAACCAATCTCGATTTACAAAATTATCCTTTATCAAATCGAAATAGATCGAAATTAATTGAATATATATTAATTTTTAATTAAAAAATACATTAAAAAAGGTACAAAAAGCCAAATTGGGTGCCATATTGACACCTCTATTGATTTTTGCATAAAATTGCTTTAATAAAAAATATTAAAAAATAAAAAATAGAGAAAAAGAAAAAGAAAGAAAAAAAAACTCATTCGATATATTATTTGAACATCTCAATTAAATAGAGATCTATTGAGTATAAATTATTTTGCCATTTGTTTCATTCAACTCCTTTGTTACAAATTTTATTTAATTAAAAACAAAAAAATGAAAGGAAAAAAAAAATAAATTAGAGTATCACGTGGACATTTATATAGGTTTTTTTCACAAATTTTATTTAAATTTAAAAAAAATTAAAAAGAAAAAAATATATAAAGTAAAACGTTGATATTTTAAATAAAAGTCAAACAAAACTAAAAATAAGTTAAATTTAAATAATGGATTACATCTTTATAGACATTTATTTTGTAGAGATAATTAAGGACCATATTTGAATAATCAAATATAGTTAGGTCTAATTTTATTTTGAATCATAGATTTAAGATTTGTTAAACATTTTTAATTTGAAATTTTGGTTTGGGTTTATGTCCGTTAGTTTCATTGAGCCTATTTTTTGGGTTTATTTTTGGGATATTTATAGATTAAATGTTGATTTGATTCATAATTATAAGCCAAATAGGTTTGAATGCCTGAAATAAAAATAGAGCCCACGATAAGTGTTTGCCATCTCTCTTAAATGTTGAAAAAGGAAATAGTTGCAAATACAAAAATTCAAGTAATGATAAAAGAAAAATCTTAGAGTTCACTATCCTAAATTTAGCAACTTTAACACCTTTATCTTATATTCAAAATTTTTTAATTTTCATTGCTACACCTGTATAAGAAGATTTCAAAATTTTCAATTATCAAAATTAAGCAAGGGATTTCAAGAACTCTCTAAGAAATATATAAAATCGAAGGTCAATTTATCAAAGAAAGGGAAAACATAATTTTTATTTATTTTTTCTTTTTCCTCAATCCACAACCTCTTGCAACTACTAAAAATAATAAGCTTAGCCTATCAACCTCATCACCATTAATAATGCCATTACAGAACCGATATTACCCTTTCATTACATTTACTATTGTTCTCTTTATCAACCCAAAATCATATCAGAATCATTCCACCCATACCCCAAGCACACTTTGTCAATACCTTTGTGACCTAAACTCAAACAACCATTATCTCAACACATAGCCGAATCACCCATATCCCATCAACAAAATGAAGAAAAATATCTTTGTCAAAAAAAAAAAAACTACTCTAGCCTGCCATAAACCCAAAAAAAGAAAAAAAAAACCTACTAAAAATAAAAAGATCCAAACACCCATAAACAAAAAAACATATCCCTCGAGGTGGAAAAAGTAGCATAAAAAGAAACGATGACAAATAAACAATCACAAAAAAATAGGAAAAATGTTTCATTTTATGAGAGTTTGAGATGATTTTAGATTTTGATTTTAAAAAGATGGGAAATAAGATAGGTATTGTAAAAGATGAGCTCAATCGGCACAATAAAAGAAGGCATTTCAAGAGGTAGAAACCATGATTTTTTGTTTTAAATCTAGGCCATTGGAAGGAGTTTTAGCAAAAACTAAGGCTAAAAACAAGAAAATTAAGGAAAAAAGAGTCGGAAGAAGCTTTTTAAGATAATTTCAATGCTGACGAATGATGAACGATGATAGAGACACGATGATGGACGGTAGCAGACCGTCAAAATCTAAAAAAAAAAAAAAGTGGCTAGTTCTTTAAAGGTTTGGGAGAGATTTTTTTTTTTTAGAGAAATGGTTAAAATGAAGTAAAAAAAATTTTAACATTTTATGGTTGAAAAAAAAAAGCCAAAATGGTCATGTTAGGGAGAGGATCCACGTACCAATTCGACCTATTGATCTACCAACCAACCCAAAAACCCACATTAGCTTAAAACCAAGATTAGTTTGAACCGAACCATTGGCAAACCGCTTCAAACTGTGAAAAACCACTTAAAACCATAGAGAACCTCTCTAAACCACTTAAACTGTTTCCTAGACTATTGACCGTATTGACCAATCATTTAGGGTAAATTTTTTATTTTTTTTTCGATTATTTTATTTTTGCTAAGTTATATAATATCTTATTCATGTATATTTAAAATTTCAAATCCCTAAAATAAATATTTAATATTTTCTAGAATAAAATAGTTAGTAAAAATAAAATTTAGATTCCAAAAAGGTAAATTTTAATTTATTCATGCTAAATGATAAAAAAAATTTATAATAAACAAAAAGAAGAAAAAGAATAATTTTTTTTGACAAAAGGATTCTAAAGAAGTTTGAATAGTGATTTTTAAAAAGTCTCCAAGTGAGAAAATATTTCTAAAACTTTGCTAAAGTATTAGGGTGTCTAGAAAAAACTTTTAATACAAAAATTTTCATTTTCCCTTTTTTTTTCAAAAGTCATTAAATGATGAAAATAAAAATAGTGAAAAATAATAAACAATGAACAAAAAGAAATTAAACAAGATAATATATAATAAATAATAAAAAAAAAGAAAAAATAAGCAAGATTATTAAGACATGTGAAATTGTATGCATATCATGTTTTATTATTCTATTTCATACATGTACATTAATCTTGAAAATAATGTGAATTTCCAATTATGGGATTTTAAGCAAATCTGACTTGTGATTTTTAAAAAATCCTTAATTGAGAAGAATGTTTTAAAATACTGTCAAAGTATTAGGGTAATTTAAATAATTTGCAATACCAAATTCTCGTTTACTTTTTTTTTTCTAAAAATAAAAAATAAAATTGTATGTAAAAAATATAAAATATCATCACTTAATTCATGAGGATAATGTTTATATATATATATATATATTAATCTTGAAAATAAATGTGAATCATAGAAAATGAGACTATAAAAAAGTTTGAGTAGAAATTTTTAGAAATCTT